GCTCGGGGTCTTCAGCTGTGCCAGGGGAGGTTTAGGTTGGATATTAGGAAGAATTTCTTTCCAGAGAGGGTGCTCAGCCATTGGAATGGGCTGCCCAGGGAGGGGGTGGATTCTCCGTCCCTGGAGGTGTTTAAGGACAGACTGGATGTGGCATCAGTGCCATGGGCTGGGAACCACGGCGGGGTTGGAGCAAGGGTTGGGCTGGATGACCTCAGAGGTCCCTTCCAACCCAGCTGATTCTATGATTCTGTGATTCTGTGAAAAGCGAGGGAGTTCCCTCACCTGGAAGACGATGTGGTTCGGGAAGACGTGTTTGATGCAGCGCACAAAGTACTCGGTCTCCGCTTCCGTGAGCTGGACGGGCTCGGAGCACCGGAACAGAGGACCCAGGCTCTGGAATTCTGGGATGGCTGCCAGTTGTTCTGGGGAGGGAGGAAAAGAAGGTTAAGGACAGTGATAGGATTTTCCACTGCTTCCACCGGTGGGGATCATCCCAAGGCTTCACAGAATCAAGGAATGGTTTGTGTTGGAAGGGAACTGAAAGATCGTCTGAAGGCAGGGACACCTTCCACTGTCCCAGGTTGCTCCAGCCTGGCCTTGGACACTTCCAGGGATCCAGGGGCAGCCACAGCTTCTCTGGGAAATCTATTCCAGCCCCTCCCCACTCTCCCAGTCAGCAATTCCTTCCCAATGTCCCATCTAGCCCTGCCCCCTGGCATGGGAAGCCATTCCCTGTGTCCTGTCCCTCCAGGCCCTTGTCTGGGAGTGAGTGGGGCAGGAAGAGCTCCCTGAGATCTCCTGGGGGTGGGAAGAGCTTCCTGAGAGCTCCTGGGGGTGGGAAGAGCTTCCTGAATGCTCCTAGGGGTGGGAAGAGCTTCCTGAGAGCTCCTGGGGGTGAGAAGAGCCCCCCAAGGGCTCCTGAAGGTGGGAAGAGCTTCCTGAACCCTCCTGGGGGTGGGAAGAGCCCCCCAAGGTCTCCTGGGGAAACAGAGTGGAGAGCAAGGGTTGTGTGAGCTGGAGGTTGGAAAAAGGTGGATCATGGAATCACAGTGGTTTGGATGGGAAGGGAAATGAAGGATCATCCAGTTCCATGGGCAGGGACACCTCCCACTATCCCAGGTTGCTCCAACCCGGCCTTGGACACTCCCAGGGATCCAGGGGCAGCCACAGCTTCTCTGGGAAATCCATTCCAGCCCCTCCCCACCCTCCCAGCCAGCAATTCCTTCCCAATATCCCATCTATCCCTGCCCTCTGGCACTGGGAAGCCATTCCCTGTGTCCTGTCCCTCCATGCCTTGTCCCCAGTCCCTCTCCAGCTCTCCTGTCAGAAAGTTCTGGGAACCCACTGATCTTCTCCTACCTTGAAATATATCCTGGCGTGAAGGAGCCACTTTCTCGGGTTTGTTGGTCACCAGGGCAATCTCTGGGGAGAAAAAACAAAGGCTTTGTGCTCTCAACTACACCAAAACTCTGCCATATCTCCACCAAAAATTCCTAAACCTGTTGGATTCCCACAGGTCCTGCTGCAAACCACTTCCAGCCTGGTTCCTCTCTCACACTGACATATCCCTTTTTTTTTGAGGAAAAATACTGGATTTTATGGAGAGAAATAAACCACATTTTAGCCCAGGAAAAAAACAGAAGGAGGAGGAAAAGAGGGGGGGAAAAAAAAGCCACAAAGCTTTTCTTAAAACACCGTGCAAAGTCAGAATGCAAAAGGAGTTGTGCAAAAGGACGTGGAAGAAAGCCAGGGAAGTGACTCAGCACTTGTGGAAGGGAGTTTTTCCAAAGGCTGTGAACTATTAAACCCTGATTATGCACAGACTTGCCTCTGATAAGGGGATCAGGAGGACAACAACCCCCTGAAGGCTCTGAGCTGGGCCTACACCCCGCCTAAGCCCAGCCTAAAGTGGTACCTGCTTTCTGCTCGAAGATTGGGGC